TGACACACTGCACTCATTGTTTTTGAGCTACATAGCAGATGGGAAGAAATGACTTTAGAAAATTTCAAGAGAGTCCTTAGTCATTATTTTGGATCATATGCTGATCTCTTTAGTCACATTTACTTTGATTATGGATCACTCATTGTTAAGATGCTGATACCAACCTCAATATACCAGTTTGTAACAGATATACTAATTGCCAAAAGAAGCTCAATGAATGGAATTGGCATTTTTCAAGTTGCTGTCAATAGAAGGACAATGTTGAACATAGATGACACTGATATTAATTTTGAAAAGTCACTTATGAATTCAAGAGATGAAAGTTTTGAGGTAACAATGCTATTAAAATTAGGAGCTAGTAAAGATGATATTGATCCTTTAGTCTCACTGTATTCTTTGCCACAAAGGAGATGGCTATGCTTTGTGTAGAAGAGGAAAACTATTTTTTTTAACAATTGTAGTGGCACTAGTACTACTGATAACCAATTTTAGAAAGTGTGCCACATCTTACTATCTCTTTACAGTGTACATTTTAATCACTACAACAATTGCTATCTTACTTGAGGAGTATCTCCTTGCTGCATCTTTTATAGCAGGTTCAAATGGAGGATTTGCAGTACTTATTCTTTTTGAAATGTATATTAAATTTACCGGAATGAAATATTTAGGTAAAATTCATTGTTTACAGTTAATTTTATATCTTTTATATGCCTTATAGATCATGTGTGTACATCAGTTGGGATAACAGGAGTATTTTTAATAATATTATTTGCTTATTCCTTCTATTTTACACAATTTATGCCTATTTTTCTTGGAGCAACAATAGGAGCAGCAGGTACTGTTCTTATACTATCAGGTTAGGAAAAAAAATTGAGAAATCTTTTTATTTATGGACTGCTCAGGTGATGATTTGTCCTGCACTTGCTTTGCATTTGTAATTGGTGTAATGATTGGAGTAGTAACTGGAGCAATTTTTGAACCAATCGGAAATATTATGTTCATTTTCATTATCATTTTGCCTGCAGTAACCATTATGTGTGGATTATTACTTTATTTATATAAGTAAGTTTTTAATAACATTTTACATGCATTACAGTTATCATAACACAGGTTCAAGCGAGTGAAGCGACTGAAGCTAGTATTTGACCTTCCAATTCGCTTCCCAAAAGAGGTTGAACTTGACCATTTAACAGAGGCCGAACTTCACCTTCCAACAAAGACTGAACTTCACCTTCCAACAAAGACTAAACTTTAGCTTCCAACAGAGGCTAAACTTCCTACAGAAGTTAGGTTATTCAACCTG